ATCACATCTACAGCTGGACAAAAGTCCCTTTCTCCCATGGCACTTCCTGGCAGTGAGGGAAAGAGTGATTCTTCTAGAGGCCATACAACTCAGAATGCTGCAGTAATTCAAGGCTGTGAGCAGCACTAATATGACAGAGAGCAGATGGAACGAGGCCTTAGGACAGATCCAAAGAGACATATAATCATAACCTCCCCCCCCCCCATGTAGATAATATCTCTCTCTCTCTCTCTCTCTCTCTCTCTCTCTCTCTCTCTCTCTCTTTCTCTCTCGGTAGAGTGTGAGATAAAACACAGTAACAGGAAAAAACCCAACTTTACACCAAATCAGACTCTTGGTCCATCTAGACTGCCTACATTGGCTGGCAGTGGTTCTCCAAGTTCCAGACATGTATCTCTCCCATCTCTGCCTGGACATGCCCAAAACAAGGCATGCAAGGCAGATGTCCTACTGCCAAGCTATTGCTCTTCCCAGGGATGAGGCAGAAATTCAATTTAGTTCACATTTAAAGGCTAAACTACAGTTCTCACACTTTCCAAAACAATATGTGAACCATGACTATGTGAACAATATGTGAACATAGAACCGTCCTTCAAAAGTCACCCTGATCTGAATTTTGCAATGCAGTGTGGCATGCACACAAAAATGTATTACTGGAGTAAAAGTGCACACTAAATTCATATACTGGTGAGAATAACATACCAAAGTGCAATATAAGGGAGAACTGCTTTGCAAAAATGTGTATATTAGGTAAAATTGATTTTTAAAAAGTTTATTAGACAGAATTCATACAGGCAAGGATACGCAATTGTGTAACTAAATCAGTAGCAAAGTTTGTATCCCAAGCTATTTGCAATACCTACACATCCAAACTCACAACCACAAAGGGTTTTCAAAGCAGCTTACAAAAAAAATATGCACAATGCAATCCCATCCAAGTGTAGTATCAATAACAGAAATAGTAGGATGTCACAAAGGTGCCAGGTTGATTCAGGCTCAATAAACACACGAGACATATCCGGCTGTGTTCTTAGATAAATAAGGTATACTATTCATTGTATCAAATTTCAACAGAAGTAATTCATAAAGTTCAACAAACGAACAAAGCAGAAGACCCAGTGGATCAGATCATTCTCTAGTCAGTTCATGCATAAGGTCCATCTGTGTAATGGTGTCTATTCCACCTGTTTGTTCATAAAGTCCAAACAATCCACATGAGAGGTTGTTACTGTTCCACAAAATCCTTTCCGGAATATTTGCCTTGTTTCGCCGTCCTGGGCTTCATCAGTAGTTATAGCACATATGTGATATTACCGGACAGTGGATCTTATGGCATGGTAGTAGCTGTATATTACATATACAGTGTGTAATATCACATATGTGCTTTAACTACTGATGAAGCCCAGGATGGCGAAACAAGGCCAATATTCCGGAAATCCTTGTCTAGACTTTGTGAAAGGACCATTGATACAATGAAAGTATACCTTATTTATCTAAGAACACAGCCAGTTACATCTTGTGTGTTTACTGAAGATGCTTTACGTGACCATAGGTTTGTTTGTTGTTGTTTTGTTAAGGTTGATTCAGGCAGCATTTCCTGCCTTGGTCCCCTCATAGTACTCAGGCAGCAGGCCCAACAAGGACCTGGAGTAAAGGAACCCAGTCAGTCCATGATAGAGGCAAGCTATAAAGATTCACAAAGAACACTTGCTGAGGAGTATTGGTTTTAATTTTGTCTCAGTGCTGTTTAGATTTTTAATAAAGAAGGATGCATTGTTGGTATTTTTCATGTATTTTTTCATTTGTTTTCCTCTTGCTGCATGGAATCATTTTAAAAAATAAATAAATTTGAAAGTCAAGATTGAAATGAACAAACTTGAATATCTGAATCAGTCATTTGTGCAGCAAGATTTGGGTATAATTCATTGTGTTTTGGTGGTGAGTATTCTGATAATGGGACCTGTGTGTACTGCTTTCCCCCCAAGCTAGGGAGGCACAATGATTTCATTCAGTCTAATTTTCAAACAAACAAACCCGATTTCAATGGAATATGGGCATCCTCCTGTTTTCACACCTGCAAATTTTCTAGTACAGTTCTAACCTCAACAAAATATACCAAGGAGCAAGCATTTTAGGAAGAACTGCATGCAAAAATGTGAATTTCTATGCAGTTAAAAAGAATTGCAGATTGATGCCAGAAGCAGGACGGAATTGACTTATGAATGAATAAAGACATGTGAAACTGACACAATCTAGAAGACTGAATCCCCCGCTGCTGCTGTTTGAATTATCCTCTCACCTGCTAGAATTTCCTAGAAGCCTACAAATGAGGTCATGATTCAGTTAAACTTAGGAGTCAGGGACAGGTGTTGTAGATTTCAATAAGGCCCACCATACTTTTCTCACCCCATTCACTGGAAGAGGATTCAAACACTAAAAGCTCTGCATTTTGGGTGCAGATGAAATGTAAAGTTTTAAGAGCAAACATAGTGGATTTTTCATCCACAGTTTTGTAATTGGCACAAAGGTACATTCCACAGTGTTGAGTACTAGATCAGCCATCAGGCTTGCTTGTTCACACATTATCATGGGAGCTGTTGACTTTTTAATTTGCATGTCTATCCCCATGCCCCACCCAAGAGTAAAAAATTAAGTGCATTGCTGAAAACGTGCCCCAAGGAATTGGAGTCAGGAGACGTGGGCAAGATATATTGGTAACTCCCACCAAGGCAACAATCAAAATTGCACCCCTGGATTTATTGCAAAACACACTTTGGGTGCTTGTGCCTTGTTTCTTAGTGTCCTGAAAGGTTTCTGATCACAGGCTTTTTTTGCTGGCTGAACCAGGGCTTAAAATGCAACCTTTGACTTCTTTCTGCCTCTCTCCATCTGCAACATGGCAAAAGCTTCCAGTCTCAAAGAGTTTTGTAGAAGAGGCTAAATTCATTCACATTTGTAGAGCGATTTGAAATTCATAGTGAAAACTGCTATGAAACTGCTAAACATTCTTAGTTCTCTTCTTCCACTCAAAAGATTTGTAATATCTGCACTCTCAGAGTGCCTGATGTTCCTCTCTCACTGTGTCTTAACAGCCATTGATTTGTTGCTCAGTGGACATGCGGGGGGGGGGGTGAGAACAATGTTAGGGGAACACACACTCACATGGACGTACACACACACACACACACACACACACACGAAGGCTGAACCAAGAGGCAAAACTGAAAAACATCAGGAGTCCACAGCATTCTGTTCCTAGAGAACTGGACACCATCCAGCTTTGAAAACAAGAAAATTTTGGGGTGGGAAAGACACAAGGCTGTGGTCCCAGCAGTGCTAACTTCAAGTTTTGTGATGCCCTTAAGCAAAATGCCCTGAATATTTCCCTTCTTCCTGACCTGTCTCCTTCTGGGCCAATCTGCTCCACTGCCCAGAAGGAGATGCTAAGGCAAGTAGAACCTGCTGCTCCATTTCCCTTGCTCTTGCCACTTATGGAGAGCATAAGAAGAAGCCTGCTGGATCATGCCAGTGGCCCATCTTAGTTGGCAACCTTTTGATGAAAAGAACTGTTCAACAGTGGAAGGTACTACCTTGGGAAGTGTGGACTTCACAGGAGGTTTTTAAACACAGGTTTGGGTCCCTTCCAATGTTGTAGTTCTATGATCCTATGATTTTTTATTACTATAATTCAAGATTTGGACAGTATTGTACTCATTTGTTGTGGTCCTTTATTGATAGTCCTAATGAAACTATGGGGGACATGGGTGGCGCTGTGGTTTAAACCACTGTGCTGCTTGGACTTGCTGATTGGAAGGTCAGTGGTTTGAGGCCCTGCAATGGGGTGAGCTCCCGTTGCTCAGTCTCAGGTCCTGCCGACCTAGCAGTTCGAAAGCACGAAGTGCAAGTAGATCAATAGGTACCGCTCCAGCGGAAAGGTAAACGGCATTTCCGTGCACTGCTCTGGCTTCGCCAGAAGCAGCTTAGTCATGCTGGCCACATGTCCTGGAAAAACTGTCTGCGGACAAATGCTGGCTCCCTCGGCCTGTAAAGCAAGATGAGCACCGCAACCCAAGAGTCGTTTGCAACTGGAATTAACTGTCAGGGGTCCCTTTAGCTTTGCCTTAATGAAACTATAGTGATTTTTCTTTCTTTTTCATTTCAGAGCAGAAAAGGATTTGAAATCTCCACGAAGCTATGATGTCTACAGTGCCCTTGGACAATCACTATCTCTTAGCCTAAGAGACAACAACCTTGCTGCGAGAATAAAATGTACAAAGAGAGAAAATTGCTACCAAAAAATAACCAAACCCCTTTATTTGTTTATATCAGGAGCACCAATCCGCCCCAGCAACCCCCATGGGTGGGACAGCAACCAATTATTCCTCCCTATAATACAGCAAGAGATGGGGAAAATAAACATCTGTAACTGCACAGTTTGTAATATAGCACAGGCAAAAAAGAGGTGAAAGGACACTAGGAATAAAAACATACACCAACAGCCAAGAAAGCAGGCATCTCTACACCTCCATGCTTTGATTGCTACATGGTTTATCCATGAAGGGGGGCAGTGCTACCTCTCCCCAGAATCCTAAATGCATTTATTCATGTTTAGGTTCACGGACACAAGAGGTTCAGAATGATCTCTGAGTCTGTTCCTAATTGATTGTGGCTGCCAAACTCATTTTTCTGGAAGACAGTCTTACTGGGCCAGTCAGCAGCTCAGCTGAATGCTGTTTGCTCTGATCCAATGATGCCAATTTCACAAGGCTTGGAAACCCTAGAAATACAATGATAACATAAACCAGTGGTTCCAAAACTTTTTCAGGCCCCCCTGTCCCCCTCAAACTCATCCCCAGTGCCCCTTGTCCTATCCTGTAAAAAGCATTAATCAGAATAGTGGTTTGCATGATCCACTAAGGAAGATAATAACACAATAAAATCTAGATGCAGGTAGGTAGCCGTATTGGTCTGCTGTAGTCAAAACAAAATTTTAAAAAATCCTTCCAGTAGCACCTTAGAGACCAACTAAGTTTATTCTTGGTATAAGCTTTCATGTGCATGCACACTTCTTCAGATACATGCACACGTGTGCATGAACATGAAAGCTCATACCTATAACAAATTTAGTTGGTCTCTAAGGTGCTACTGGAAGGATTTTTTTTATTTTGTTTCGACAATAAAATCTAAAACAGTAGCAATTCAGCCTGGACATTGAGATCCGCTTCTGAGGGCCTTCTGGTGGTTCCCTCACAGCGAGAAGTGAAGTTACAGTGAACCAGGCAGAGGGCCTTTTCAGTGGCCTGCCCTGTGGAACGCCCTCCCACCAGATTTCAAGGAAAAATCAACTACCTGACTTTTAGAAGACATCTGAAAGCAGCCCTGTACTGGGAGGCTTTTAATGTTTATGGGGTTTTTTGTGATTTAATATGTTATTGGAAGCCATCCAGAGTGGCTGGGGCAACCCAGTCAGATGGGCAACATATAAACAATAAAATTATTGTTATTATTTATTTATTTATTGCACATTTATTCAAAATCCAATTAAAACTCTTTGGTTTAATGAAAACTGTTGAAATTGATCTAGTTGTGCCAGCTTTTCAAAGCCTTATCACCATTTGCACATCCAGCACCCCCTTGCCATCCCAACCCACCCTAAGTAATCTCCCCTCCGGGGGGGGGGCGCGTCTTACCACACACTTGGGAACCACCACTATAAACAAAGGAGTTGTGGTGCATTTTTGTGATCAGATGAAGAACTTGAAAGTGCTGCTGGACCCAGCCCTGCTTTTTCAGGAGCAGGTGTGTGTGTCTGTGTGTGTGTGACCAAGAACAGAAACCAAATGCAACCTAGCGGAGTAGGAACCACAAGTGCTAACAAGCTTTTCATGTACTGTAATAGGTTGCGAAAATCCTTTTACTGAGAAACAGAAACTTAGTTTCTGAAATAAAGGCATCAGAGTTTGCTAGATGTAATGAAAGTGAAAGAAAGGCACTGAGGATTGTCTGAGAGAGAAAGCAAAGAAGCACCACTGTTTATATTTGTTTAGCTATGTATATCTGCAAAAAGCAGAAGACAAGGACATGTACCAAAGATAAAGCTTCATCAGACCAGTGCTTCCCTCCCCCCAAAAAATATGTTTAGGGGTACTCTCATTTTCCTATTCATATTGAAATACTGCCCCTCAATGACACCAAACTTAGATTCACATAATGTTTAGGGGTATGCGTACCCCCAGGAAAAAAACACTGCATCAGACATTGTGCAAGTTACACCCACCGTGCCTGCCTTAAAAAGAGATGGAAAATATCCAGCTACAGGTCATGAGAACATCCCAACAGTCAGTAATCAAGCTGACCTGCAAAACCTGACGTTCTTGGTGTAATTCAAGTTTGCAATCCAATTCCGAATCTGTTTCCACCAAAAAAAATACTGAGGCAGGCTACCAGTACAGTACAACTTGAATGACTGTGCCATGTGTAACATGGTGGACTCAAAAATATAATAGAATTGGTGTGTTTGTGAAAATTAGACAAGTATTGTCTCACAACTCAAGCTATCAGCAGGATCAAGCAAAGCCAAGGAAAGCAACTTATGTAACACTTGTGTGTAACACGGACATCAGCTGTGATCATGAGCAATGATTCTTCAGTGCTAGAGCCACTCAGCCCACCTCTGTGTTTTGTGAAGTTTTGCCAAGTTAGATATAATGGCAATAAAAGCAATATTCTCTGGGAATATTGAAACAATAAAGAGAATTATTATTTATATATTTTATAGGCTGTTTCACCACATAAAGCCATAAAAGCAGGGAAAAACAGAATAAAAACACAGAGGCACAACCTCTAAGAACAGGAAAATCAAGCCTGTGAGGTAGGTTAGGGCCAAGTTCTTTCTGTTTTTACTGAAAGAACAATCCCCTTTGGTTATATTTTTTCTTTAACAAAAAAGTCTGATTAGGTTCATACCTTCTTGTTGTTTAGTCATTTAGTCGTGTCCGACTCTTCGTGACCCCATGGACCAGAGCACGCCAGGCACTGTCTTCCACTGCCTCCCACAGTTTGGTTTCATACCTTATGCCCACCTTAAAAATAGTTCCTGTTTTTTGCTTTGAAAGAAGCACATGGATGTGAATAGCTAAAACATCTTGCTACTCCATCTCATTTTAATTGGGTCTGCCTAGGCATCTCAGCAGCTCCCATAGTTGGGAAATGCAAGGGAGGGCAAGAGAGCCTTGCCTCCCCCACCCTTAGCTAAGCCCAGCTGCACATCAACCTCCCCGCAAATGAAGCTGGGAAGAGGAGTTCAGCAGGGGAGGGGGATTCTTTAAATCATTTTCTAAGTTATGTCACATTGTTGCTCAATTCCATCTTTTTACATTTTTTTTTTCATGTATTGTGGTATCATATGTATTGTAATTTTGCTGTTATTTTTATAGATCATAATTTAGTAACGATTCACCATAATAGCTGAGAGTGAATTTCTGTTTAATTGTGCACAATTATATTTTAATGAATTAATGAATATTGCTTTTTTGATGTGAGCTGTTTATTTTAAGTCATATTTTTTTATCATGACTTATTTGCCTTGGGTCTGATTGTTGTAAGGTGTGTGATCTTGTATATCTTGTTGTTTCTTCAGCTTCTAAACCGCCTTGTGTATAACAATGTAAAAGTGAAATGAAAATAAGAAGATTGTTTTTTAACACAAAAATGTAACTGTAAGCTGACTCCAGAAAAAGAGGCGCCAGAACACATCATGAACACCTCCCTTGTTCTCCAACAATGGCAATGGAGCCCACCTGAGAGGTGTCGGAACTGAGTTCCTGAGAGTTCCAGTTGAAAAGAGCCCTGCCTTTAGATATTAATAGCTTTTACTGGAGAGAGAGTGTTACAAAATTTCACATCCCCCCCCCCCCCGCTTTATATATATCTTGCAATATACATGAAAATGTAAAATGTCATTCAACTCTGCACCATCAGATACTTGGGAGTAGCTCTGCCTGCCCAGACGGGATGTTTCACTGGTCCTGGCCACCTCTCAGGGGGCAGAGACACCTGCGTGTCATGTGTAGGTCATGTGACTTTGTCCTGCACTCAGCCCTCCATGATCAACCAGTCTCTCACCCTGACAAAGACACTTTCCACCATTCTTTCCTCTAAAATGTGTGAATCTGCAGCCCCCACTGTTAACACTTACTTTTTAATGGGGAACCCAATTATTTTTACACATATGCAAACACTGTATCTGGCAGAGTATACAAGCATTTCACACACTTGGAATACCAGCATTTAAATAGCAACTAGCATGTAGGAAACAGCCCTACGAGACATGGCAAAGGAAAAAAAAATAAGACGAGAGCTAAGCCCCATGAGGAGAGATTTCGCAAAATGCAGTGGAAAGAAAACCAATTATTGTTTCCGCAAAGTATTTGTAAATCCATTTCAGAAAAGCAAGAGGGAACATATAATACTGCATTACCAAGCTGTTCTGAGTTTTGCTTATGTACATTTTAAGATCTTTTAGATATCTTTTCCCTATAATCCCCCCCCCAAATACTGGCAGGCAAATATTAATTGTTCAGAATGTAAAATGCACAAATTTAATGCTTCTGTCAGCTTTATTTTTTTGTACACCCCTGAGTTTAATGCACGAATTTATTGTATTATACAATCATAGTTTAACAAACTGTAATCCACAGCAAAGTGGTATTAGTACAGAAAAGTGTTGATGCCTCTAAACTGGGACTAATTAGTCTCTCTCACATGGGAATAACTAGCTTTTGCTGGACTAGTAAAATCAGGCTTTTACTCCGGGAAGAAGCACTCCAGCAAATGTAATGCCAATGCAACTGCAGGAAGAATGTGAGGTGGAAGCCTCTCTCTCCTTACCTCCCAATTCCCCACCCCCCCTTAACTCACCCCCCAACATTTAGCAGCAGTGCAAGTTTCCAGGTCTAGAGTTACTGCCATATCTCTAGTCTGGATGTTATGGAGATTTATTTATCTTTGAAAAATATTTATATATTCATTAAAAATATCAGAATGGTTTGCAACAATTAGATAGATGATAGATAGATAGATGATAGATAGATATAGATATATAGATATAGATATATCTATATATAGATATATAGAGATATATGGATAGATAAAAAAAATTAAGAAGACATTAGCTAACTATTATGGATATATTCTTAATTGCCTGCATAGCCCTGGCAAATTAGGAAAGTTTTCAGCAGGGTTTTAAAAGTTGCTTCAGGGTTTTAAAAGTTGCTTCAGAAGGCTCCTGCTGAATCTCTCTTGGCAGAGAACTGGGCCAATGGCTCTACCCTGACCTAAGTTGCTGAGGGCTTTGCATATTAATACAAGGACCTTGATCTGAGCCCACCATGAGTTCCCAAGTTATTGCCTGTGTTTTGAGTTATTGATTTCTCTCACACCTTAATGCAGTAAAGCTTATGATGAAACCCAGCCCTCTCTCCACCACCCACACTTTGTTGTTTCCCCAGTTTTTAATTTTAGAAAATATACTCCTCTGGGCATCTTGTATGCTGCAAGGGGAGAGACTGGACCCATCAAGGAGCTCCAGCTTTTCCACCTGCCTTGATCCACCCTCTGCCTGGGACCCTTTATAAGGTGAAGATGCCACTTAAGTATTCTTGTCTTCTCTTAACATTTTTGTAAGCAATGCTCCTGGCCTTTTTGGCAGGAACACAGATGAGTTTGATTTTAATGCTGTTGATGTGTTTTGAATTGCTTTGTATCATTTGCATTGTATGTGTTTGCATGATTGTATTTGTATGTATCTGTTTATTGGGGGGGTGAGTCATCTTTTGAGCCTGTTTGGCTGAAGCTGGTGGCGCATAACATAACATAAGTCATTGATGGTGTGTTAGGTCCTGTGCAAAGCAAACACAATTTAACTGGGGGAGTGGGGCAGAGGGAGGCACCAGAGTCGTTCAACTAAACCTGAGAATATGAGGTAGGGCAGAGTTAGGTCAGCAGAGAGAGAATAACCACCACCTATGAAAAACGGGCCCTAAGCCAAGTTTTAAAGGAGGAGATAAGGGATTGGAAGAACCCTGGGCTCCTTTGGGAGGAAAGGCAGGATATAAATTGTATAAATAAGCAGTTGTTTTGATGGACTGATGG